AGGCGGTGATTGTACATTGTCAGATAACTTCCAATCATAGGAGCAGGCAGTCTCCTGATGAGGGATCCTTCTGGGTTGTGTAGAGATATCTCATTCTTGCCTCTGTAACCCACTGCTATCAAATTGCTGTCATTCACTGCAAGGCATGTTGGTTGGCTGTCTGACCCTCTACCTGGTGTGAACTGATTGAGGAGCTGATGTTGCTTGTTGAAGACCTTGACTACTGCACCATCTAAAACAAGGAGCATGTCATCTTTGCTTACTGCAGTATCCCTTACAGCAGCAGTGAAGCCATTGATTTGTGGCAATTGTGGCCATTGTGTGAAAAGGAGTGATGCATGTTGACTATTAGGCATTGTGACTATAAATACCTTACATGCATGTGTAAATGTAGATACTGCAATTATTTGATTGTTAGAGAGTGCTGCAACATGTGTTAGATATGCATTTGTCAATCCGAGGTTTGTGACTTCAGTCTTCAGTTCCCATTTCTCCTTCACACACGATCTTCCAGGTCTTGGTGATTGCTCTGATGCAGCCTGCCCCTGTTCCTCCAGAGTAAGTTTCCCAAGTGACTCGCATGCATTCTTAACTTCAGTCTTTGGTTCCCACTTCACCTTCTCACTTGATTTTTCATATCTTGGTGATTGTCTTGCAGCAGCCTTTTGCTCGTCCTCCAGAATGAGTCTCCCAAGTGACTTCTTACCTTCTTTAAAGTCCATGAAGATCAAGCTGTCAGGAACTTTCTCTGGTTGTTTGCTTGTCAATTCACTGAGGTTATGCAAGAGCTTCTGCTGAAGTTCAAGAATATCATAGCAACTTGCTTGAATTGCAAGTTGTTTCACCTCATCCAGCGTGTGCATTGTGTTAGTTACTACTTCGCTGTTTCTGACTTTAACAGCTTCAATTGTTGAGACTCTCTCTTGATAAATCTTCTCTGTTTTTTTCAACAATTTGCACTCCTCCTGTCGGATCTTGAGAACTTTTTGTTGAATCTTGGCAACCTCCTGATCAGCCTTTTTGGTAATTTTCTGTTTAGTTTTAGTAAACATGGTGTCCAGTTTCTTCTGGGATTTGTGTGTCTCTTGTATTGTGGCTGTCATTGTTTTGGTAGTCATCTCAGTATTTGCAACCATTTCTTCAACTTTTTTCTTGCTTCTCCCTGAGGCCTCAGGAACAGTGATAAGGGGGTGTTTCACATGATCAACAACAGAGCAAGTTGTGCATACAACTTTCTCACATTCGTCGCAGTAGACATTGAGATTCTGCTCTGGATGCTTGCCGCATTTGGGAACTTCTTCTCTTAGTTTACTCTTGTAGACGATCTGTCCTGAACGAAGTTGAGCCAGTGTGTAGATTTTATGAGATTTCATGACAGTCATACGTCCATGTGCCTTTTGACATTCTTGACAGAGGAAATGATCACAGTCCATGCATCTTGAAATAGCCTGATTCTTCTCATCACAGGCTTGGCATTTGATGTCTGACCCTTGACCTTCCAGTAGCTTTTCCTGCATTATAACTTCCTCCACCAGGGCACTGAATGCAAAGTTATTAGGGAGATCAGCAACCCCAGACCCTTTCAACATGGTTTCACGTCTGCACAGAGGACATGTCAGCTTTGTAGCGCTAGGATCTTGGCTATGTCTGAGCTCTTGGAGGCATTGCAGGCAAAAACTATGCAAACAGTCCAGCAGTTTGGGCTGCCTGAAACGGTTGGTGCAGATTGAGCATTCCAGATGATCCACACTAATCTTCTCCAACACTGATTGAGCTGTAACATTAGATGCCATCCTCACTGTTGGGCTTGGTGCGATAGGATAGACCTTTAACCTACAAATGAAGCACATTAAGTAAAAGGTTTTGGAATTACTTGTATTTCAACTTCAAATGATCATTTGGTTGAAATAAGCTACATGTAAAGTTTAAAACATTTTTTCAAGTAGAGTATTCATAAACTTGAAGGTTTATTCACGTACTATATGCTTGATTCAAACCTGATGTTACATGTAGTTATTTTTTTCCAAAAGAAAATAGCAATTTGTATAATAGGGTGGCCATGTTTATGAAAGAGCATACTTTGTCCTGAAAATGTAACATTAAAGAATTCCTTTCAGCTGTTATCTGGGACATTTTCTGCACCTAATGTAAGTTGTAATAAAGTTCATAACCAGTCAAAACAAAAGTTGGTGGCAAGTACAGTTTGTTTGATAAATAGTTTGTGAGCTGACCTGACAAAGAATGACTTTTCATTGACTTGATGAGGACATGGCTACAGGTCTGAATGAAACAGTTCACAACAAAATTTAGATTTTTTTTTCTATAACTGGGTTTTGCCCTAAACACTGTGTACTCAATGTAAAAAGTTTGTAAAAATAGCAGTCGCACATCCCTCCGTAAAAATGACCTCCATAAAATAGAAAATTAAGGTTAAGGGTGCTTTTCAAACCGCATGATCATAGACAATATGTGGCACTTTTCAGGGTGGAACAATTGGTGATTGTCGCGTGAAATTCCAAAAAGGGCACTCGTAAAAGGTTGCTGGTAACAAAAAAGGCACTTGTTTTTTAAAAAGGGCACTCTTTACAAATATTGGTGTAAAAAGGGCACTTGTAATACAAAAGGGCAGTCTTATCACTCCACCTTTGAGCTTGCCTGGGTCAGCTGGGTGGTTTGAGTCGAGGTGGGCAGGAGTCTGCAACCAAATATTGTCTGCACCCCAAAAAACAAACATATTTCAAGTACTTTTACTGGCCCATATTTTAAATCGTAGACTCAAAGTCCACTTTCCTTTAACCCTGAAAGGGCCGGGTTATTTTGACCATCTCTCAGCTCAACCATCGAGGGACGAAAATTTTTGAAACTCAGTACATGCATAGAGCAACTCTTCTTAAACATACCCAAGAAATTTCATGACTATAGATCAAAGGGTTTTAGAATTATGGCTAATTAATTATTCATATGTACGAATGGCAATTCTGCTCTGTGTACATCATGAATATGGGAAAATTCAGTTTTCATGGCGCATAGCGCTGGAAAATTTTTCGCAACGCGGCAGCCTGTGGTCCGATTTGTATGTTTTTGGTATCAAAAGATGCGCAAAGCTTGAGGCTTAAAAGTCATAACAGCTCGGGTCCTGACAAAAATTTTTTTTAGAGGCTATCGCTGAAAATGTTGAGGGATTCCCCCCCCCCAGCCCTTTTAGGTTTAAGAAATTTCATTAAAAAAACATTTACCTTCACATCAGTTTTATTTTTTTGTTTGTTTTATTATTATTTTGTGATTCACTAAGCTACGTCTGTGCCGAATCTTCTTAAAGGTCCAACACTTGTTTTGTAAGACTACATGTAAATGTACAAACAATACATCACTTATTTCTGTCATAAATATAAGGATATTCATGTATTCCACATGTCTGTATTCTAACAGGTTTGATGGATCCACCTGAATTTCCAGTAAATACGTATACACTTGTAATTGGCAAATACTGAGTTATTACGTACATGTACTTCATATGAGATAATGTGATGCTGGTGATTTATATCAGATGTATAGACAGACTTACAGGTAGACCCACAAAATCTTACCTTAAGGTACACATGAAATGAACCACTGCTATCTGCCCATTCTGATGTCACTTACGGCAATGGTTGAAATGAACAAAGATGGCGTTCTATGTATACGCCCCTCTGTATCAACACAGACCATGTCACCTGATTTTGAGTTCAGTCATTTGCAGTCCCTGGATTCCACTTCTGTAGAGCTTTGGTACGTGCTCATAGTAAAATCAAATACAGTGTTTTATATCAAATGGATCCAAAGGTGTTGGGCTGGTAATATTTGCAGTACCAGTACCCAAATTCTGATAACATAGCACTTTGGTACGTGCTCACAGTAAAATCAAATGCAATGTTTTATATCAAATGGATCCAAAGGTGTTTGGCTGGTAATATTTGCAGTCCCCACTTTTCCACTTACGTAGAGCTTTAATTGGTACGTGCTCATAGTGAAATCAAATACAGCATGCTGACTGTGTTTTATATCTAATGGATCCAAGAGTCCAGAGCTTGTAATTAGCAAGATTATGGACAGTTTTATCAGAAAGGTAAACATAAAGAAGCCACAGGGTCAATTACCTGATGCAGTTATTCTGAGCTGACTCTTATTGCAGATGACACCTGTTTTAATATCCTTTGATATGTTTCCAGTCGGGATACTCACACAGGTGTCTATCGCTTGTGGAATTTCCAGATTCTCAAAAGTAGGGGGAGGGGCATTTCTTCAACAGAGTTAATGCGAGCGCGAAGCCCTAACAGCATGGGGTCTAGAGCCAGCTTAAGGCCCCCGGAAAATGTTGTATTCTAGACGCTCTGTGGTGTGATCTGAGGCAATTTCTGACCACTTCAAATTGTTGTGAGCAAAATAATCATCTATTTTTGAGTTTGGAGTCATCAGCTATTGTGAGCTATAGAATCATTATGTTGGCAACAATTTCAATTCGGGGACAAAAAAGTGGGGGGGGGGGACACAAATGATATGATATCCCCCGACTTTAAAAAGTGGGAAGGGGGGACTTGTCCCCCCATCCCCTCTGATTGATGCCCATGGATACTCAAGTCTGTTGTGTAGACAAAATAAACATATAAAAAGAGGTAAAAAATGAACCGACAGTAATTGGTTTTGGAACGTAGTTTTGTTTTGTTGTGGGTTTTATTTTCTGTCACTTTCTTTTTATTTATCTACATTTTAGCTCGTGTGCAGTTGGTATTTTACATGTATGTATAGCATTCAACAGCACTACGCTTGCATACAGTGTAGTTCATTCAAATTATATTCATCATAACAAAACTTGTTATTTCTTTCAGTGATTCAGCATCAGCAGTGCTTTGTTACACAACTTTCAAAACACACATTTTTAAGGCTTTCTCTTTTATTGCATCCCAGTTCAGTTCATGCAGCACTATTTTTGAATATTCATTCATCTTTTGTGCCCTCCATAGGCTGATTGGTCCATTGCTGAGATGAATGCTGAGATTGGGGAGAGCCACACCTACCTCTACACATCACAGACTGATGAACAGGTATGTTCAGCAATAAAGTGGTGTCAGTCTATTTGAAATCAGTATATGGGTGCTCAAAAAGGGCGGGGCGTAGAGTCATAAGGGTAAGAGAGGTCCTGTCATTGAGGCATTTTTTTTGCTTGATGCTACAAAACTGTTCAAAATCTGCAGATGTTTAACAACTAACCTGAAAACATTTTAGCTCAGTAATTGCTGTACATTCCAAGAACCCAATATACTGGGATCTCGATTTCAAATCCAAAGTTGCAGAGTCATGTTTTGAATTGCGCCCAAAATCAGCATCCGGGACATGTTCTCATTCAGCCCATTGCAGCTACACTATGCCACGCAACGAACCGATAAATGATAGTTAGCAATGGCGTGTGCTTGTGTGTCATGTCAGTGCTTGCACGCACCCGTTTACAGATTCTTCAAATTACAAACCTTACTACTCACTTGATGTATCTTGGAAATTGCCTTCTTTTGCTGTCATTTTTCTGAAAATGACAGCATGCAAGAAAGAATATTTTCACAGGGAGTTTATTGCCATTACTTTATTTAAACCAAGTAAGCTTTCAACAATAATTTGGTCAGTTTCTTGTTTGGATAGCTGCAAATGATCTACTCTACCTTTAATTCCCCCATAGACGAAGCACACAAACATACATGTACATGCGAGTACTGTTCTCGACAACAGATTGAGGACTTTAATACATAGTCTGTAGTCCTCACACGGTATGAAATTTACGCACTGGTCCTCACACAGAGCATGCTAACTCCTTTTCATTTGAATGTCCATAAGATTCATTTGGCTGCTTGGCTTATAGCATGAGTGTAATCATTGTGAGGGTAGTAGTACAATGCACATAATCCTTTGCAAATAATTTTTTTTTAAAGGGCCCAATCAATTAATTTTTTTTTAATGCAATCATTGAAAATGCAGCTTCATTTGTGTCCCATTTAACCTTTTTCCATTTTCACTATGCCAGGATATTTCCAAGGGTATTTTGGTGCTTTGTGCTTTGATGCAAATGCAAATTTCCATATTCATTAGCAAAACTGTGATCTCATTCATGGGCGGAAACCTCAATGTTACGTCTATTTCAGCACAAAATGTTACTGGAATTTTGGAAAGTTTGCTTGCGTAAATTTTCATTTCTTTCGTGATTTCTGTAGTGATTTGTTGTGTCAGTACATGGCAGTAAGCCAAATGAGCAAACCTTTCCCACAAATGTTTTCACTGAGCAAGGAATTTTGTGAAATGCTTGTAAGTGCATTTTTCAATAAAAATGGAAGCGAAATAGATAATTCATTGAAGAGGAGTAGAAAGTTGCACAAAATGTGTTCATAAACTAATTTCATCACAAATGTCCTTTCAAGAATTGCCACAAGTTGTCTGTGTGGTGCAGCTAGTATGGTGGTTTGATTGCCAACGTTGCTTTATCAGAGAAGTTGATCTTTTATGTATGCTTTTCTTTCTTAACATTGCAGGAAGCCATGGACAGGATGCAACACATTTTAAGGGGGGGGTTGTATTTTGATTTTGATTTAGTGCATATTTCATGTTCTGTTTCATTGATGTGTGTATTTATTTAGCATTTTGTTTACTATATTTATCTTTGACATGTTAATTCTTTGTATTGATATTTGCACACCTTGTTACGTTACAATAACAATTTTGTTTTTTTAATTAATTGTTATAATAATGGTTTATTTTTTAATTTAGTAAAGCGCCTTGAGAGTCTGTTTACGCGGATTTTGGCGCTTTATAAATGTTCGTTATTTAGTTTTGTTAAATTGCTTCTTAAGCCATTCTGGATAAAAACATGTGGAATTATAGGGCTAAATGTTCATAATCATCATTTACCTTTCTCAAGAAATATCTGAACATTTCAATGAAATATCAAGAAGATTTGGCCCTTAGGCTTAATTCTAGTCGTCATAAGTTTATTATAAACTTGGCTTGTCTATGGCTACAATGCAGCTGCTATACCAGAAATAGCTCCAATTCTTTCTGGATGTGAATTACTGTCTAATGCCTAAAAAAATTATATATTGTTTGTAATTTAATGAGGATCATCATCATAAAACTATTAACATATTACAGCATCTGCCTTATCTAATTATAATGTTTGTATTGCTTTGAAGCAGAATTGTAAATGCTAGTGTTCAACACAGAATGAATCAGTAACAGTACTTCAAACAAGACTGGAAATCAGGCTCATCGCCGGGGGGGGGGGGGGGGGGGGGCCTTTGGCGAGCAATTGCCCCATCCCCTGCCTCCCCCACGGCAAAACCCATACATATGTATTTTTGTATTTGTATGGTAGTGGGCCCCCCAAGTTGGTACTTTGACCCCCCCCCCCACCCCCCATTCTTTGTTGCTCCAAACAGTCAAGACTACACAATAAATTGCTTTTTTATTTTGGATGAAACCAGTTTTAGGGTCATTGTGTGTATTCTTTGAAGAGACTGAGCAATTTCAGTATTTGTTTTTGCTTATGAAATTGGCTTTCCAGTCATTATTTTATTTTTTTTGCTAAATATTGTTTTAAATATGAGATTTAATTTTTTTTGGGGGGGAGGGGGTCCGCCATTTTTTACTGTATATGGGGTAACTTCTACATGCTGTAACGGATTTTGATGAAACTTAGCTGCAGTGACCCTTAGGTTAGAAAGCTTAATTCTTCATCGGATTACTGAGGTCAAAGGTCATGTAGGGGTCATAAGATATTGCTTCGAAATTTGTTTGTCTACACTGTGTAATGGATTTTAATGTAACTTGGAGTGATCCTTGGGTGGGGGTTCATCACAACTCGTCTGAAATTGGATGTCAAAGGTGATTTAGGGGTCGTTTGAGGTCATTCAAAGAAAGCACAAAATTAAGAACACAAACATATAGGGATCGACCACAGAAAAAGGTGACACGCCTAGATGTACTTTTTGCATGTCTGTCATCTGTGTATATTGTACTTTGGTGTTTCTATATTTGCTAAATTGACTTTTGTTTTTGTTTTGAATTCAGTTTACTTATTAATGTAATGCCTTAACGTTTTCTGTTTATGTTTCCAGTTTTATTGGATTTATATTGGTATATTAATTGTTTTCTATTTTTTTTCTATTAGCTCTTAATTGTTAGAGGGTTGTTTTTTTGGCTTTATTTTGTTAATTACGTTTGTTTGTTATCTGTTCTTTGTTGTGAAATGCAAAGATGAATCGGAATAAACAGAGTCTTTGAACACCACCTCAGAGAAAAAACACGAAAATTCTTGGCTGACTAGATGTTTTATAGTGTTATAATAAGCCAAATATAATAGAAACGGTTGTTTGGGTTTTCTCTGAAATACGTCAGCATTAGCCTTTTTGGCGAGCTGCGAAGCAGATGCGAGCCTATGTAATACCAATTTCCGTCCGTCTGTCCGGGCGCCCGTCTGTCCGTCCGTCCGCGTTCAGATAAAAATGTTGAAGTTTTTGGTTTTAGTTAACTTGGGGAAAAAAATTAAATGCAGTTGTCATGTATCATCTCTAGGCCTATAACTTCAGTTAGGTTCATATCATTGCAGTAAATTTTATGATTTTATTGAGGAACTTTAATTCAAGGAAATGTTAAAGTTTTTAATTGTTACATGTACATGTATACTGGTATAACATGTACATGTGTGTATACCGGTATAACATGTACATGTACACTATGCATTTTGGGGATGTGCATGAGCTTCTGGTTTGATCTTTTAGTTTTATGGGATTGGAGTAGGGATGGGGTAGGGGAGGGTGGGGTGGGTTGGGGGATAGGGGTTGGAGTTAGGGTTTGTGTGAGTAGGATGAGTAGGGGAGCTAGGATGGGTGGGGTGGGGTGGGTTGGGGTGGGGTGGGGAGAGGGGTTGGAATACTGGGTTTGGGTTGGGTGGGGATTTGTAGGGGTGGGGTGGGAACTTGTAGGGGTGGGGTGGGACAGGTAGGGAGAGGATGGGCATGGATGTAGGGGTTGGGTTAGGAGGGGGTTGGGCAGGGGGCGGGATATAGGATCGGAGTAGGGGTTGGGTTGGGGATGTGTAGGGATGGGTTGTTGTAGGGGTTGGATAAGGGGAGGGGGCAATATATAGGGATCAGAGTGGGGGTTGCATGGGGTCAGGTGGGGATGTATGGGTGGGGGAATGGGGTGGGCGGGATATGGGAATTTGAGTAAGGGTTAGGGTGGGGATGTGTAGGGTGGGTAAGGACAGATAGGGGAAGATAGGGTAAGATAGGGTAGGTGGGTGTAGGGGGTTGGGGTAGGGGAGGGTACGGGTCAGGGGAGGGGGAAGGAGATAGGGATTGGAGTTTGGGTGGGGTTGGGATGTGTAGGTGATAGGGTGGGGATGGTTAGGGGAGGATGGAATGGGTGTGGGTAGGGGGTTGGGAGGGGGAGGGGGCGGTTTGGGGATGGGGTAAGGTTTTTGGATGGGGTAAGGTTTGGGGGAGGTGGTGATGGTGCTGTGTCTACATGTACATGTATACCCATTCTTGTTCTGCATTTGTGGCGACTACACAAGATTTTTCCCAGGGTAATACAAGTATGGGGAGCAGAAAACACTGTTGGGGCTGCAAAAATCCACAACTGGGTCCTAATTACCCTAACAATGGAAAACTCCCCTATAATACAGTGAGGGCTAACCTATATACACATGTATTTATTAGGTAATCTGTTGACTTTTTATGTTGACATTTAAAAACTGACCCCTACACCTAGGCACATCAACAAGAATGCTGATCCCCTTCCATCATGCCCATCCCCAACCCTACCTTCAGCCTCCCTTCCTGCCTTGGACAGCGAGCCATGGCGGCTTCGCCGTTCTAGTTTAAATGAAATATAAGGAAAAACTCATCCAATTGTTAAAAATTGTAATCAGTTCACAATGTTTGCTCTGTTTCATGATCTTTGTTATTGTAACGGGAACTTATTGGGTTCTTGTCCTCCTAGTCCGGCCAAACGCAAGAAAAGGGGACAAACACACAGGATTTCCAACTTCTGAAGAAACTTTTATTTATTCAGCACAACAACTCTGTGGTCAACCTGCCACACTGCTACCAGTACCACGACTGCTGATTCCCAGCATAGAAATACACACAGTCTGAACAAATGTGTACAATTGTAACAACTTGCAATGACCCCGGCATCTTGCCAAACCTTTCCCGTGTCCCCCAACAAAAGAAAACCCACTTATTAAGCAACCTACTGGCCGGAGCGCGCGCTAGCCAGAATCAAAACCAGGTCAGGTGCGCGCCGCCGGAGCCCCTCCGCCGGATCGCGGAGCACTAGTGCTAGAAAGCAATGACATTAAAAGTACTGCATAGACTCTCCGTTACATTATTATTAAATATTCACTTGAGGGTTTTAGGGTCATTGCGTTTAAATGGTGATATTCTTTGATGAAACTGAGCAATTTCAGTATTTTTTTCTCATCTTAAAGTCGTTTATGAAATTGGCTTTCCAGTCGTTATTATTTTTTTGCTAAATATTGTTTTAAATATGAGATATAATTTTCGGGGGTTTGGGTTCCGCTTTTTTTTTTTACTCGCCCTGTATGTATGGAGTAACTTCTACATGCTTTTACAGATTTTGATGAAACTTGGATGCAGTGACCCATGGGTGGGAAGACACAATTTTTCATCAGATTACTGAGGTCAGAGGTCATGTAGGGGTCATTAGAGGTAATTGTTTTAATATGCTTCAAAGTTTGTTAACAGAATTTGATGGATTTTAATGTAACTTGGAGTTATCCTTGGGTGGGGGTTCATCAAAACCTTTCTGAAATTGGAGGTAAAATGTGATCTAGGGGTCATTTGAGGTCATTTAAAAATGCACAAAATTTGATATTTTTTTTTTTAAAGAACACAAACATATAGGGATCGACCACAGAAAAAGGCGACACGCCTAGATGTACTTTTTGCATGTCTATTTGTGTATACTGTACAACAACTCTGTGGTCAACCTGCCACACTGCTACCAGTACCACGACTGCTGATTCCCAGCATAGAAATACACTCAGTCTGAACAAATGTTTACAATTGTAACAACTTGCAATGACCCCGGCACCTTGCCAAACCTTTCCCGCGTCCCCCAACAAAAGAAACCCCACTTATTAAGCAACCTTCTTTAGAGCCTATATCCGGAGCGCGCGCTAGCCACACTCAAAACCAGGTCAGGTGCGCGCCGCCGGAGCCCGCTCCGCCGGAGCACTAGTGCTAGACTGTCCGTTACATTATTATTAAATATTCACTTCTAGTTAGCAAAGTTCATTCTGCACAATAGATAGAGGGCACTCAATTGCTTTTTGTTGTCCACCGCCTCAGATCGTTAGAGGGCGCTATATCTTAAAACAAAATTCAATCAAGGGATGGGGGCGTTGTTGCCTGTAATTTGAAATTACTTAATATGCACGTGGCGCGCGCCAAAATTATGCCGAAGTGCTCAACAGGGGGCGCTGTTGAATTGATTCAAAGTTTCTAGGCGACGTGCAAAAGTACAAATGCAAGTCGTGTAAACATTCCGATTAACAATCGGCCTTTCTTTTGCTTGTAAACATTGGCGCCATTTTGTATGGGCTACCTTAAGAAATAGTCAGAATCATTTGGTCTGGGGACCAGACTACCATGATGTACGTGCAAAAACACGTCGCTGTACTCTGGCTGGGACTTCTTGCACCGTTCATCCGTACCTCCGTCGCGCCGTGGATATATTTACTCTGTGAGTGCTTCAAACTTCAACTTCTGTGCAGAGCTAGCTACATGTTTACATCCTTTTCAGCATTTTACTGAGTGTTGGGTGAGTGTTCTGCACCAGCTTGGCGAGTGGAAATTGTTGTGAGCTACAAAAACTAATCTCGAAAGGATTATATGTAACTCCGGGTAAAGAGAGCAGCCTCACCACCGACCACCGAGTCAGCACGGATTCCTCCCGGGACAGGCCCAGCGGAGTCTGCATGACGAGCCTGCTGAGGCCGCACTTCAGCATATCAAGTGATGCACGGGAAAACCAATGAACTAAGTTTTGACTGGTCACTTAGAACTCGAACTTAGTTGCCCATGAGTTGTTTGCCGCTGGTTCATTCCTCATGAGCTTGAATTTAAATCAAATAAATGAACTGCAAAGATCGAGTTAAGACTTTTGTGACAATTTGGAGGATTGCTGCTTGACTTGAGCTAAATCTGCAGTCTGCATGTGAATATCACCATATAAAGGTGAGTAAAACCTTGGTTTATTTAATTCTCTAAACCAAACAGTTATGGTCATTTCCACAGAAATGTAAACCCCAATACCGTAATTTTGGCGATCGTGAAGTACAGGTGAAGGGCCCCTGTTTTGTTTTGATCAAATTAGAGTCAAAAATGTTTTCTTATTGCTCAAAAATCACCTTACAATCGAAAGCAGACTCTTCTCAATTCTAATGACACCCATTTTGCAATTTTGAATAGATTCTTGGGGTAGAAATCACGATTTTCCTGCTTGGTTTATGCCTTGTGATTCAGCGTGCCACGCGTGCTCACGGTACATCGCGCAGTGATCGACATCTTTACTTTTGGGTGGCGTGTTGTCGCTGCGCTGTCATCATTTTACCCCCAAATTTCCCTCAAAAATCAAAACCTTGCCCTCTATCTACGACATACATTGTACCTGGTTATTGAGAATGTCGCCAACTAGTTTGGTAGAACCAATAATTTTAATGTGGATTTTGTTCCCTTATACTAGAACCATGCCCTACACTTCACGGTCGTTGAAACTTCGACATCAACAGACAATTTTCGGGTGCATTTGGCCTTAAAGCGATGCTTGTACAATCTCAACCGATAGTATTATAGCGTGCAGCCATACAGTATGGGCGAATCACTGCAGGGGAAAAGTTAGTAATGTCCATGTATGAAATTTTTTCCCTAACTTCTTCTATCCATGTGACCCAAACCAAAAGTTTCAGTATATCACTTGTACTACGCTAGTCTATATTCACACGTACGAGTTGGCTTGCGTACAAGTTGGCATGTGTACAAGTTGGACCGCGTACGGATTGGTCAGCATACGAGTTGTCCTGCGTACAAGTTGGTCGTGTACGAGTTGGCTCGCGTAGGAATTGCCCTGTATTCAATATGTTATTGCTTCATGGCCTGAGTTCAATCACAGTGGCAAGTAACCAAAAAAAATGACTTAATTTCTTTTATTTTGCATTTTTGGCGCAAATTTGTTGCTTTCAGACTTTAAATAGTTGAATATTACAAAACAGACCTAATGTCTTTGAAAACACTCCAAAAGGTATCGTCAATTTAGGGCACACTGAACTTTTTTTCCAGATTCACAGCACAGTAACCTTTAATAGGCCTATACGATGAAAAATTTAAAAGTTTGTTGATAAATCTGTCAAGTTTGCGCTCCAAATTGTGGATTTTCCACAATTTCAAAGAGACGCTTGGCCTGATGGCCCTGCAGGGCGGTCTATTTGCCTGTCACCCACAAAGTTTATTCATAACGTAACTGCACAGGTAGATGCTGTCAACTCTAGTGAATATTACATGTAGGTACTGCCGTCCAGATTGGCTATTAATCGTCATTTGTTAACTGCGTATGCATGCAGTTAAATCAGGTCACCATGTGCACGCTAAATGAATATTCATTGATATAATCCCAATAACAAATAACAGCAAGTTGTTTTCTTGATATTAAGGGATAACTTATTTGCTTTAAGCCATTCAGAAATGTAAAGTAATTCTTGGTTA